TTTTTATGAAATTAAAGTCTTATATATTTTTTTTTGTTATTTAATTATGCAAATCCGTGGTCCTAAACCGATCCAATCCGTGTTTAAATGGATTGGTTCGGATTGGTTCCATAATTTAAATGGATTCGTTCCAATTTTTCAGGATCCGTAGATAACGGATTGGTCCTGGTTTTACTCCAATCCGGTCCAATCCGGACCATGCTCACCCCTATGGGAAACAATAACTGAAGATTCTCATTCGGCACAAAAACGAATAATGCTTACCTATCGTTCTACATGTTCGTTTTCTATGCCAAGTACATCTTTAGCTCCACAAAAGAATCGGTAAACTACACTAACGGTCCTTTACATTCACTCATCATGTTTCAAGTTTTTACTTGCTCTTATATTTTGATTTGCTATATTGGTGAACATTATAAATCTTAGGGAAAATTACGTACACCTCCCTTGAGGTTTAACTAAATTACAGATTTCCCCTAAGGTTTCAGAAATTACATCCCCTCCCTAATGTTTATATTTGCATAACAATTTAACCCCATCTGTTAACTAAACGTTAAGAATGGTTAGCTGATATCAGTAAAATAAAAATTGATGGATGATATTGCCTCTACTGAAATCCCTCTGATAAATTAATAAAATTTACAAAAGGATTACGTTAGATGGGGAAAAAAAAAAGGATTTTGGAATCATGCTTGATTTGTTGTTTAAAAAAAAAATCAGAATTTAAAAAAAATAAAAACTAATTTAATAAAAATAAATATGAAAAAATATATTTAATTTGTAAAAATTATTTCTAACCACTTAAAAGATAAAATTATATAAAAATAATAATAATTTTTTATTTTTTATTTCTAAACCAAATTAATTTTTTATTTTTTTTAAAAAAAATTTTTAAAAAAATTTCTAAAAATCAAACCAAACATATTCTAAGAATTTTTTGACAAGTCATTTCTTGTGTTTTTAACTTATTTAATTATTTGTTAATTTTATGATATTTTCACCATCTAACACTACAACATATAAGAGTTGTAAAAACTAATTTTTTTTTATCTCTAAAAGTAAAAATTTTGTTTCAAAAGACATTTAGGGACTAATTTCTATCGTAGTGAGGATAGTCATTAAAAGGTCGTCCTGAAAAGTAAAAACTATGACCTTTAGTGATAAATTTTGAAAATGTCAATAATAAATAAACTTTTAGGGACAAAATAATTTGGTCTCCAAATAGTTTATTTTTTGAGACAAAAAATTTGATACCAAAACGATAATAATTAATCACTAATGTTCAATTTTCGTTGCTAAAAATATAAGAATGACACTTTTCGCAACAAAAACATTTGGTCCTTTGAAAATAATTGTCCCTAAATTTTGATCTCTAAAGCCTTAATTTTTTGTAGTGTAATAAGTGTTTTTCTATTTTAATTTTGCATTTCATAACTTTATTTAAAAATGATAATTTAGTAAAACCTTGGGGGGAAATCTATAATTTAAAGTGGTGTAGGTAATTTGTCCTTATTTGTCAAAAGGGCATTTTAGTCAATTTATGATATCCATTAACGGCGTTAATTGCGATGGGGTGGGATGTAATTTTTGAAACCTCAGGAAAAAATCTGTAATTTCGTTAAACCTCACTACAAGAAAAAACACATTTGGCGACTAAATTTTTAGTCGCCAAAAGTCGATTTTTTAGTTTCCCCGACTAAATTTTTTAGTCGCCGATTTGGTCGCAAGAAAACGGTCAGGAAAGGTATTGGTGACAAAAAACTTTTTGTCGCCAAAAAGCAAGTCTTTAGCGACTAAAACTTTGGTCGCCAATAGTCAATTATATTTTTTAAATTATACATTTACCGACTAATGTTTTACTCATCAATAGTCAATTATATTTTTTTAAATTATACATTTACCGACTTTTTTTTAGTCGCCAATACTCAAGCTTTTGGCGACCAAACATTTTAGTCACCAAAAGCTCATTTACCAAACATTTTAGTCGCCAAAAGCTGATTTGTGAAAAAAAAAAATTACACTACTCTTGTGGAGGTTTGAACCATCAACCTCCTACACCATAAATCTTATATAACACACTCCTTCCACTACGCCTCCATAACACCATATGATTATATATGCAACATATATTATTTATATAGTTCATAAACCCGTATTAATATAAAAGTATATATATAAACATAATTATTTTTTATTAAACATTTTTAAATAAATTATTTAGTAGAAAAAAAGAGAGACTACTTTTGACTAGTAATTATTTTTTAGTTGTTAAAAAATAAAATTCTCGTGCTAAAAATTACCACTTTTGGCGACTAAACTTCTTTTTAGTAGCCAAAATGCCTCACTTTTGGCTACTGAACATGTTTTTAGTCGCCAAATACCTCACTTTAGGCTTCTAAATTTTTTTTAGTCGCCAAAGGGCCTTACTTTTGGCTACTAAAATTTTTTTAGTCGGTAAAAGGCTTACTTTTGGCGACCAAACATCTTTTTAGTCGCCGAATGCCTCACTTTTGGCTACTAAAATTTTTTTAGTCGATAAAAGCCATATATTGGCGACCAAATAGATTTTTAGTCACCAAAACCTATACTTTTGGCTACTAAATTTTTTTAGTCGTCAAAAATCTTCACTTTTGGCTATTAATTATTTTTTAGTCGCCAAAACCTATACTTTCAGCGACCAAAAGTGATTTTTTAGTCACCGAAAATGCTTTTTTTTATAGTGCCTCAAGGGAGGTGTAGGTAATTTTTCGTAAATCTTATATGTTTGTTTCTTAATTTGCATTAAGGCTAGGGTGAGTGAGTGTAAAATTATAAAGGACAATTTTTTTTTTTCTTGCTCTTATATTTTGATTTGTAATATTAGTGAACATTATAAATCTTATATGTTTGTTTCTTAATTTGCAATAAGGCTAGGAAGAATTGTTATTTTATTTGAGTTTTGCAGTGTAACAATCCGAAAATTTAAATTGTCTCTTAAATTTTATATTAGTATTATTTAATTATAAATGAGAAAAATCCTACATATTTAATTAAATATTCCGTAAGAGTAAAACAAAATATTAAATGTTATGGGTGTATGAGATAAAGTGTAATTAAATTAGGGATTATATTATCAGAAAAATAATTTTAACTTTATATTATTATTCGATATTATTTTCTGAGTATTATGATATTTTTATTATAATTTTTTCTATATTTTTTCTATATCAAAATACATTAATATATAATATTTCTGTACAATGAAAATACGTGCGCCCCAAATTGTCTTGCTGACCACGCATCTTGCTCCGCCTCTCGCCTATATATATATATATATATATAGATGGCAATCATCTAAGGCATCTCATCATTTCCCCCAAACTCTCTAATTCTCTCTTTCTCTCTCCTCTCTAGTTTTTTTTATATAAAACGTTGAGGAAACAATACAATTTAAAAATAATTTTTGGAGAGTCATAGAGGTGGGACTACAGAATAGACACACATAACACTTTTATAGTATTTATAATTCTATTCTTCATATGTAAATATCGGTTTTTTTAGTCAATAAATTTTGTTATAAAAATAAAAGTTCTGATAATTATTTTGGTACTCTCACTTAAATATTATTTTCACTTGCGTTTATTTATTTATTCATGAATTGGCCGTAGGTAACTTCAGTTACTGGCCATCACGATACTTAATCCTTGTGTATGGGGAGCGAGTCGTGACATGTAGAGCATGTACTACAAGAAAAATGTTTCAAGTTCTCTAAGAAGAAAAATATTTCAATATATTTCTTTCAGTATCTTATCAAAAAATTATACTAATTTTACAAATTTCAACATGATACGTATAAATTATAATTACATTTTGATCCTAACACTATTTACAAAGTACCTTTAGGCACAGGCATACACTAGTTACATCATATTATATAATATATAAGTAAATAGACACTTCTTTTAGGATGCTTAGAAATGTGTCATGTGTCATGTGTCACTTTGAACTTCTTAAAATTTTATCAAGATTCCTTATTAGAATTAAGGGTAAATTACACTAATATCCCTAAGGTTTCTGTTTAATATAAATCTCTCCTCACATTTAAAAAATTACACTTATTTCCTGTCAGATTAAAATGACATATTTACCTTTTAGCCTTTATACATATAAAATAATAAAATAATATTAATATTTGTGCATGTCATTTCAAAAGAAATAACAATCATCTTCTTTAATTTAACTCATACAAAAAATTAATTTTTTTGAATTTTTCGTGTCATTTTATTTTACTAATTTTTTTATAAATATTTTAAGCTTTATTTTTATATTTTAGATACACCTAATCTAGATATACATAAGAAGTATAGTATTTTGCGGTTTTTTATATATATATATATATATATATACAAAAATTCAATATATTATTTTATTTTGTTGCATTCAATGAATTTTTTTTAAGTTTTTTTTAAAAATTATTTTTTTAATTCAATACATTATATTATTTTTTATTCAAATTTTATACTTTTAAAATCCCCAGTGAGGTCTGATAGATGAATGAGGATATTAGCGAAAAGAAGAAATGACATAGCGGATATTTGACTAATTATTTTCTGGGAATATACATAGCCCATTGCCAATTGAAGACTATAATGAATAATATAGTACGAGAATGCATTAAAATGAAAGGGATATTGGGTATTACCTTCAAAGGTTGAGCTGAGCAAATGTAAGATAGAAAGGATCTGCCTAAAGCAATGCCCTGCCCTGCCCTGCCCTGCCCTGCCTATACATGACAAGCATTTAGGGACTGACATTCATTTTAAATACTTTATGAGAAGAAAAATAGATCACTGGCCACCTATTAATAAATAAGACTTACCCACGCATCCAATAAACCAGCCAACCCAAGGCCTCCCAAAAGTAGTACCCAGATTTGGGTAATCACCCGAGGGAAAGAATTTTAAAAGACTTGTTTCCTTTTTTCAAAAAAAAAAAAAAAAATTCCTAAAATACATGAATTTTGGTGCTCATTCGCGTATAAAAAAAATAATTAATCACATTCCATACCTCATTCTCAGATATTACCCCTGAAGGAATAGGATGATAAGGTTCATTAATAGCATCAATCTCTCTATCATACCAATCATTGAGCATCTAGAAAGGTGGAGAGGACACAAATTTAGTCATTCTATCAGGAACACATACTAATTTCCATTCATGAGAAATGTACCTGTGTATGGCCAGCTTGGCATGTGCTAGACATTATGCAAACAATTGATTTGGCAACATCTTCCAAAGTCCAATGGAAGTTTCCTGCAACATGAGCAGAAGTGACCTAATAGACAGAGAGAGCATTGTGGAAGTAATATGATTATTTGAGCAAGCATATTAAGAAAGCCATCCATTAACCTCCCAAAGATAACCTCGTTTGTGAGCTAACAGCCAACAACATTCTATACCTAGGAGTAGAAGAGATGATATTAAGGCTACATTTGGATAGATATATTTTAAATGAAAGAATTTGAGCTTGAAATTTATAAATACATGAGTGATCTAGACCAGGTGGTTGTGCATCATAATTGTAGGAATTGGACCAGTGAAATGGCATACCAGTGATTATGAGCTTGGGCCGATGCTGTCATGAATTAATCAAAAAGGCCCATGTTTTTATTGAATACGGCCCAATGATCAAAAACACTTTCTTTTTGGCCAAATTCCATCTTTTAGGCTTTCGATTCTACAAATTAACTATTTTTTAAATTTTGTTTTACCAATTACTTTGTCTACAAGTTTACATTTTTTTGTGTTGTTTGTTTTGGCATGTTTCTACCTCAAAATTTATATTTTTGGTAATTTTATGTTTTTCTGCATTAATTCCAAGTATTATGAGGAATTAGCCTAATTTATTATTTCCTAGTTAGGTTAGGACATGCGTACTATAAATTAGTTGTAAGCCTCAAGGCAAATCAGTGTAATTTGGATTATTAAAATTTCAGGGAGAGTTTCTTATTGTAAGTCTTCAATATTATAGGTATTCTTAGATTAAACAAAATTATAGGTTGTTTTGCATTAATCTCGCTATGCAATACTGTTTCTACACGACACACTCTTCCCCGGAGCACTGAGAGAGTTAGTTGTTGGAGCTGGATTAAAATACCTATGATATGAGTAAGAATTGAAGTAAAGATGCTTTATTATATTCCTCGTTGTTTGGGAGGGGAAAGATTGGGTACACACCTAATCTTTAACAGTATTCTACAACCCCAAGGTCATTGGGCCTAGTATTAACCATTGAATCAATGACCCACTTATATGTATATATCACGCTAACAGAATTTAAAATACTTTTCACTTGTGAGACCAATTTTCTTTTAACAATTAAACATTTAATTAAAAAAATTCAACTAATTTTCAAGCTAATAACGTACAAAAATTAAAAAAATTCTATGAGCATTATAGCCAATTTTTTACTTACATTTTGTCTTACCAAAACTCCACCCTTACATTTGGATTTTATCCTCCTAAGGAAAGAAATGGGGAAAATTTTTGGGATCGCTTTAAATGCTAAATTCACCATTTTAGAACGGAAGTTTACTATGTATCAAAATGTCCATTCCAAAACATAGATCTCTAGGGTGTTAACATTTTCTAGTAGCACTGCCTTAATTAATTTGAGCTGATTATGATGATGTGCCCAATGCCTCTACAATACCACTACGGCTCCATTCTCCACAAAATAGGATATTGTAGAACTTTCTTTCACATACAGTTTTCACTGTTCTCTCACATCCTTATTTTTAATCAAAATCTATTTTAATCTACTTGCAAAGCACGTATCTTGCTTCTTCCCTAGCCTGTTCAATTTAGCAGATATTTTACCAAAAGAACCTAAAACAATAATTCACATATTGATACTAGAAAAAGGTTTAAGAACTTCACAAATAGGCCTTTGAGCTTATACAATATACAATACATATGAGTTTTCTCTACCATCCTTGATTGCCTGAAGCTTAAAAATAAATAAAATTGAAAATTTCAAACTCCAATTAAATATCTAGGTAATAAAATAGATCCAAATTAACTAATGATTATTGTTAAAGCTTTAATGATGTTTAGAGTTATGAGGCAACGAAATAAGCTACCCCATGAATAAGAAAGAGCACATTTAGCCCTCAAAATGTTGATCCTCAAACTCAACAGCAAATGAGTTTCATGATACAAAAGTTCATAAAAAAAATATAAAAAAAAAGAGTCAAAAACAAGCAATAGCAGGAATTCTTTATCAGAAGATAACAACAGATCATGCCTGGAAGTAGAGGACAAGATTGGAATTGTGAAATATGTGTAGAGAAATGGAATAAAGATTAAAGATTCTGCTAGGGCAACCACCATATGCAAATAAAAATATAACAACATATAAACCTCAATATTCAAATATTCAGTGATCTACTCCCAACTGACCCAGGATTAGAAATAAGCAACAACAGGATGTCTTAGCTTCTTCAGAGGCGCAACAGTTGAAAATGAACAATGAATGCTTATTTCGAGATGTTGCCCCAAGTGGGGAGGGTGTTTCTGATATGGTTAAGGTTAGGATGGCCTTTTGGTTTAAGGAGGTATATAAGGATTGCAGGTTCTCAGTGCATGATTTCATCTTTAATTTGGAGCACATTAGATCTTGCTTGGGAGATGCATACAAGGGTGTCTCATAATGTTCTTGCCTGTGTCATTAATCTGCCTTACCTGAGTTGTTCTGTTTAATCGTCTGCTTCTGCTCTGCCAATCTGCTTTCTGTTTGTGTATCTGCTTCACCTGTGCTGCCGGGATCACAGTTTGGTTTGTGTTGGTTTGCTGGGTGCAGTTCTGCAACTCCGTTTTGTTTGTTCTCCAGGTTTGCAGGCTTCTGATGTGTTACTGCAGTGTTGCAATGTGCTGGGTCTGTGAAGTTTTGTTCTGTTCTGAATTTGGAGCTGAGTGGTGGTCCTTAGCAAGTGCTGCAGCGAAGTTTTGCAGTGTTGATGCAGTGTTGCAATGGATTGTATTTCAATAGTATATGGGTCTCAGAAGATGCAGGCCATGGAATCAGTCGTGGGATCTTAGCTTCTGGGAATTCAATAGGTCATGTATCAGAAGTGGCGGTGAATGGAGTCCGGTTCAGGACCTGGCAGTCTATTGGTTGCTTCAGTATAGTGTGCTGGTTTACTATGGGGTTGTGCATTTCTGTTATAGGGCAGGGATCGAAGACATAATGAGCCTCTTTTTAGACTTCCAAGGTTGTTCATTTTGCTAGTCCAGTCATGGTATGGGTGGTACAAAAACTGGTTTTTTGGTTCTTTGGCAGCATCTTTTGTTTTTCTTTTTGTTGGTTTCTCACCAACTGGCGCTTGGAGCTTCATGTTAGCTCTAAGCTCCAGTCTACCTGATGTCATTGGTGTAGTCCTGACAACAACACAACAAGGTACCACAAGTTTCAGTTTGTCATCCTTCCTGTGGAAAGATAGACAACCGTCACACAAACAGGATCAATGACTCAGTATAGTCATTTAAACTTCAGCTGAGAAAATTATGGCAAATAAGATAATACATGCTATTATAAGATAATTTTTGTTTTCACCAAACTAAACAGATTTTGAAAACTGCTCAACCAAACAGAGCCGTTGAATTATTATGATTAAGACTAAAAGACAAATCAGGAATTCAATATTACTTTCAAAATGAAGTAATTTTGAATTAAACACTCACAAATATAAATTTTGTGACAAATGCAAAACGAATCAAACACTCACAAATATAAATTTTGTGACAAATGCAAAACGAATCAAACACTCACAAATATAAATTTTGTGACAAATGCAAAACGAATCAAACACTCACAAATATAAATTTTGTGACAAATGCAAAACGAATCAAACACTCACAAATATAAATTTTGTGACAAATGCAAAACGAATCAAACACTCACAAATATAAATTTTGCATTTGTCTCTCTCTCCACAATTACGGCTATTTCATATCCACAATTACCGAATCTAACACTCACAAATATGAATTTAAAACGAATCATATTATGATAATACATCATCAACACAAACACTGCACCGATAAATCGATTAATCACACTGGATGCTGAAATCAAAAACCAAATCAATGAGACTGAAATCGATTAATCGATCGAACCTGGATGCTGAAATCACAGTGGAGAGAGATGCTATGTTATCCCTTAATTGTTGAAATCAATGAGATTAGGAGAACACTACGATCAGTTTGTGCTCACAGCCATCAGGGATTCGATCGCGAGAGAGAGGGATTGAAATCAAAAAACCACCGAGAACAATGAAATTAGGGCTGAGAGAGAGAGAGAGAGAGAGAGAGAGAGATTGGTGTGGAGAAGGAAATGAAGTCCCGACTATTGAAATTGAAAGAATGAAAATAAAATAAAATAATGTATGAGTTGAGTTTATTGGGGACGAATCAAAATTGTAGGCAAAAAGTCATTAACTCTTTTGCAGCTAAATAATTTTGTCTTAAAAATATAATAATATGATTTTTTATTTTATTTTAAAATTCATTCATTTTGTCTCTAAAAGTATAATTTTTACAGACAAATTATTTTTGTCTCTAAAAATTTGTCTTTAAAATCTTAATTTCTTGTAGTGAATCTAGACATAATGGAGGAAATAAAAATGAAAAATTATATTCATATATAAAAACTTATAAAAAAAAAATCATAAAAAGAGTAAGATGGTCATTTATAAAATTTTAGGACATGACATTAACAATCTAGAAGATGCTAATTTGTAATGAGATTATAAATCTCAAAAAGAAAAATGTAATTTTTTAAATATAAGGAGGAGATCTATATTAGTAGTTGTTTGAGATGTGCTATATAAGTGCACTTTTTGATTTTTTGATTAAAAAAGTAGAGAAAAAAAGACGTATGTTTAGGATAATTTTTTTACTTTTTACGAAAACAAGTATAATAAAATATTGTAGTAAAATCAAAATGACTATTTTACCCTTTTAACTTTTTGACTTTTTGGATAGTTGAATTCAAATGATAAAATAATAATTTTGTCCTAGTGGCTTCCCCACAAGCTAGCCTTGAATAGTATAGATTTTTTAATTTTTTTAATAATTTTTTGACTTTTTAATTTTTTTTTAATTTATCTCAAACAAAGCCTAAATAAAAACCTTAAGAAGGGTTAGTGTAATTCACCCTAAAATTAAAGAGCTGACTTTCTATTTTTTAAAGTTGTCAAGTTGCAAAGCTGTCCGTTAGCCACTCAATGAACTTTCTCAATGCTACGTTTCAGTGCACCTTTACTTTAGTACTAACGTGGAACAACTTTTTGTACCTCTCCATAAATGAGTAGGAGTTGGAGTAGGAGATGTGCTATTCTAATTTAAAAATTAAATATATTTTTAAAATTAATATTGTTATAATTTATTAAAATATTTAAGATAATTTGATTTTTTTATGTTTTTTAATTATTAATTAATCATCTATTTATATATTATTAGATTTAGAAAATAAGTTTAAAAAATAAACTTATATATCATTTTTTTATTTTATAAAAATAGGTTTGATTAATGTGTTCTTTTAGAACACATGTTAAGAAAGTAATAAATAGTTTTAACAATTTCTACTTTCGTGAAAAAGGTAAAACAAAATTGGAAATAAATTTGATATTGTTTAAAAACTTTCCTTACACGGACCAAACCAAACTCTCCTATTTGTGTGTAATATTGTGATGTGTTCTTAGAACAAAAAAACAAAACTACAAGTGTTCTGTTTTTATTAACGTTACCAACACAGTGAGAGCCCCTCAAAATATGTGCTGCAAAGTAAGGGTCGTTTGGTTTTGTTTACATAATTAATTTTGAAAGATAATTTTTTAAAAAGAATTATAAAATTTAAAATTTTGTTTGGCTGTATATTTTTAAAATAAGTTTAGAAATTTGAAAATCTAAAACTTGGTTAGTTTTGAGTTTTCAAAACTAGTTTTTGAATATTTTTTTTCTTTGTATTTTTTTATTTTTAGTGAACTTTTTTTGTAATTTATTTTTTAGATGCACTTAATCTAAATGTACTTTATTTATAATGAACTTTTCAAATATTTTTATCAATATTTTTCAGTTTTTAGATTATCTCAATCTAAATACACTTAAAACGTATAAAATTTATGAAAAAGTCTTTTAAAAAAACTAAATACTAACAAGTATACAAAAACTTAATACATTTTCGTATTTTTTTTGTATTTGTTGAATTTTGTAAAGATTTCTTTACAATTTTGTTTTACTTTTTAAATATATCTAGATTAGATGTATCTATAAAATTAAAAAAAAAAATGGCCAATATATTTTAAAAATTCATTATAAATAACAAATATGAATTAAAACGTCAAGAGCTGTTTTTGAATACTTTAAAACTAAACAAAAATTTTAAAATTATTTATTCATTCTACACTGGTTGTCCGAATCTAAATTTTTAAATTTAATATATTTTTGTGGGGAATTTTTTTTTAAGATCCCTCATATCAAGATTTTATAGCATAAAAGATATGAAATATTTTTATAGTAGTTGGGGTCCCTCAAATTTTTACAAACAAACAGAGAAATTTCTCTGGTTTGCTCAATTTCTCTGTAAAATTTATCTTATTTGAAATTTCTCTGATTTGCATACAATTAGGTTCTAATTTAAGTTACTTGTTTGATTTTCACTAATTAGTTGTTTCCTTATGTGTAATTTCCCTTTGAGATAAATTTTCTCTGGCACTGAGATATCCTCTTTAAATTAATTTTTTCTAAACACATTGGACTCCATTTCTCAATGTGCCTTACTTGATTTTCTTTGACTAGTTGTCTCTTTAATTTTTTCTCAAATTTTTTGTGGCATTTAAATTTTTTCAGTTCACATTAAACTTCTACTAATTTATATTGCTTGTTTGATTTTCACTGGTTTGTTGTCTCCTCGTGCTCAATTTTTTCTAGCATCTATATTTTCTCTTACCACAGTAGAGTTCAATTTCTTTTTGTGGCTTCCTTGATTTTTTCTGTCTAGTTGTGTGCCTGTGCGTGTAATTTTCTCTATTTTTAAAAATTTTCAAGGATTTGACATCTTTAATGTTGATATTTCCGTCCTTGTACTAAATTTTCTGTTGACATCTTTATGTTTTCATTGTCTAAAAATGGCAAAATGCAACAGCAACAAAACACCTGAAACACCACAAAAGAAACAGAAAGTTGTTGAGTCTTCTAGTTATATGAGCTGAGATCAAAACGCAACAACAACAAAACACCGTAAACACTCCAAACAAAATAGAAATTCTATGTCATTGCTAGTTATGAGCTAGGATCTAAAGGCAGTAGCAAAGTACCACGAACACCACAAAACAAAACAGAAAGTCCAAGCCCAAGAGGCAACTAGCATCAAGAAGGCACCAACTCCAAAAGTCTCAAACTCAAAGGGAAAAAAAAATTGCAGAGAAAATTCATCCCAACCAAACTACTAGCTTCAACAAGATCAAGTAAGCACATAGAGTAAAGTGAATCCAATGTGTTCAGAGAAAATTGTGATGACAGAGAAAATTCATTTCAAGGGGAAAATTACAAACAAGGAGACAACTAATCAGTGAAAATCAAACAAGCAACATAATTTGATGGGTCGAGAAAAATTCAGATGCTAGAGAAAATCAATCAAGGCATATAAGTTCATATGATTATAATTGTAGTCAGAGAAAATACGGATTCCGAAGAAAATTTGTCACATGGAGGAAACTAATAAGTAAAAATCAAACAAATAATATAAATTGAAATGTCAGAGAAAATTCATCCCAACCAAACTAATGGCAACGAACTTGTAGAGAAATTCATTTTAACCAAACTACTAGTTTCAACAAGATTAAACAAGCACATAAAGTAAAGTGAATCTAATGTCATTAGAGAAAATTCAGATGTAAGAGAAAATTATAGATAAAATCACATAACAAGCTTCAAAAAGATACAAAATGCAATTAAAACCCTAATTAATTTGGATATTATTACGAAATAGAAACCCTAATTAATTGAAGAACATTATAAAATGTAATAAACTGTAGATACAGAGAAAAAACTAGTTCAAGAATAGAAATACTTACCAGAGTAAGGTAGTGATGATGAAACCCTAATTACAAACAGAGATGAACCGAGTTGAAGATGTACAAAGTCAATGACAAAAGTAAAATGCGTCAGAGAAATTTCTGAGAAGAAATCTCGAAGATATTCGTAGAGATGAAATCCTATTTTCGCTGAATATGATTGACAGAGCTGCCATGGCTTTGAAGATGATGGAACTTAAGTGAAAAGCTTGAAGAAACATAAAAAGAGATGTGAGATTTGGATGAGCAAATTGAATTCAGAGAGCAAAATCTTTTTTTTTTGATCGGCAAAGAAAAATTCCATTAAAAACATGAAATTTACAGGAACAAGGGAAAAAAACGCAATGAGAGAAATTCGAAGAGTAAACATTCACTTTCCTACTACTGTTACTCACGTTCTTACAACCAAACATTCAGAGAGCAAAATCTTGATATTAAAAGATGCCATTGTTGTTTGTTTCAATTTTGTTGTTGTTCTCAATCCACACACACACAGAGAGAGAGAGAGAGAGAAGAGAATGAGAGAGTGGGTGTGATATATGTGTGTGGGTGAGAAATCCTAGGCTACAAAAAAAAAAAAATTATTGTGGACCTTTCCCATTACTAAAAGTTGGAGAAAGATGTTAGACCAATTTTTTTCTATTTTTTTTCATTATTTTCAAAAATATTTTTTTATTAATTCAAAATAAAAAATCATTTTGTTTAAATTTTTATATGAATTGACAAATAACTTCTACACAAAGTTTTATCCAAAAACATTTCATTAATTTGAAAATATGATGTATCACATACTTGAATATAGATATTGGTTCAATTAATGTAACTTTGCTAATAGAGATAAATTTGATTTAAGATAGTTTTCGGAATAGAGATAAATTTGGAATAGTTTTGAAATAGTTTTAGGAGTAGAGATAGATTTAGAATAGCATTGGGAATATTCTAATCAAAAATACTTTTAATTTTGGGCTCTCAAAAATTATTTTCAAAATCCAAACCAAACACGGCCTAAAACTTTCTAGTTGCAAAATGATCACATAATGACTTGAAAAGTTTAATGTAAGAATATAATTTATTTGATTGTTATGAAATCATGTTTAAAAAAAATAGGGGCATTTACATACAAGTCCCATTTTGTAAATTTATAATTTATTAGGTACTAAATAAAATTATTTATTCCTTCAAATCCCATTAATTTTTAATAGACCAATTTACCCATCCAAACCTCCTTCACTCTCCACTAAACTCATCGACGATTTCTCTCTCTCTCTCCCCCTCTCTCTCTGTCCATTAATGAACAAACCAACAAAAAGAAGACCCAGGAGCGCCTGTAGTTGGAGACTTTGGATGAAATTGTGGAGGCAGAAAAGATGGGGCAAACCAAATCCAGAACCCTAGTAAATTCTCAGCCATCTCTTTCTCCCACTTTGGCAATTATACAATACAAAAACCATTTTAAAAACCAAATACAAATCCCATCTTCTCAGAACTGCTCAAATTGAAAATCATTTGGCAATGACAGCTGTGTGTCGGTGTGGTATACATAGTAGTTCAAACGTCGACACCTTCGTTGGTTTACAGGTGTGTCATAGTTTTTTTTGCAACATTGATTTTTTCGTTCGTTGGTGGCGTACCGAGCTCACCGATCACTGCCAAGATATTTCGGTCCACCATTGAAGGATCTTCTCTTCTTGGTTTGAGAAGGAGAACTCTTTGCCTTCGTAGACGTCGTCCATGGATTGTGATTTGTTTGGCTGAAGAGAGATTACAGAGAGAGAAAGAGAGAGAGAGAGAGAGAGAGAGAGAGAGAGAGAGAGACTGGGTTTAACTAGGGAAAGTTAAAAACCAAAATCTAAAGAGATGGACGATACAATGAAAAAAAATAAAGAATAAAGTTTTTTTTCTGATACATCAGAAAGAATAAAGTTGAAAACTAAAATCTACGCTATTATTCCATAGCATGGGGTAAAATTAGATTTTTGTAAACTCTACGCTATTGCTGTAAGTCCGAGAAAATTATAGAAAGACTACATTGTTCTTCTGAATTCTAATTTGAAATTGAAAACATTCTCAGTTTATAATATTCTTAATTTTAATCATGAAAAAAAATTGAGAAATTTCTCAAAATTAATAATTATGGATTTCTTAGTTTTGATAATATTCTTAGTTTATACTAAAAAAAATTGAGAAATTTCTTAGTTTTGATAATTATAAATTGAGAATTGAGAACATTCTCAGTTTTAAAATTGAGAACATTCTCAGTTTTTGGATTAAAGGACAAAACGTTTTTTTACCTATAAATGAGACTTATTGGTTCAAAAACTTTTTAACAGGACCTAAGCTACAACCAAATATGTAGACAGGACTTTTTGGTAATTAACTCAAAAAATATTACTTAAATTTTTATATTTTTTAGTTTTGTTAGCAAGTCCCTAATATCTATACATAATGCATGTGAGGATATTTAATAAATAATATTTTTTTTTGGACAAGCATAAGGAGGGTACTTTATTGATGAATATCAAAGAAATACAGGGGGATTATTCGGTAGTTTAAGAGTTTGGTCACGTGGTATTTTATGATAGTATGATTTGTGGAAAAGATAAATATTTATGATTTGTACTGAGTGATTAAAAAATATGAGGAAATATAAGCAAACAATCATAAAGAAAAGGAAGAATGTAAAAAGCATTAAAATCAGACAATCCTATCCTAATTCGGTTAGAAAAAAAAAATTCTATCATCTGTTAGCACTTCTTAAAAACGAAAATTGGTTGGAGAGGATCCAACGAAAAGCAACAAAGAGAAATCACCAAAAGCAACAAAAGGGAAACTGAAGGACGAGCAGCACCTAAACTTTTCATTACATAGGTATCATTTAGGACACATGTTAAAAGAGTTTGTTTGGCAAAAAATATTTGTTTGTATTTTTTGGTTTTTCATAGAATGAAAAATGAAAGTCAACAGAAAATATTTTTTATAGTCAACATAAAATAAATTTATATGGACAGAAAAAAAAATTCACTTTTAAAAAGCAGAAAACATTTTCTGGACCAAAATTTCATCAATGTTACCATACTACTACTACCACTCTTACCTCTGCTACCATGCCACTATCACCACATCCACTTCCACTTTAGTTGCACCACAACCACAGCCATCAAACATAGAAAAATATTTTTTAAAAAAGTTTTCCATATAAAAGGGCAAATTATGACAGCAGTCCTACTATTTTGATCCTTGTGTCATTTTGGTCCATTTAATTTCAATTGGTTTGATTTTGATCTTAAATTTATGATTTTGTCTCAATCTGGTCCAATTGATTACAACTCTTAACATTTTTTTATTTTTTTTTATTTATGAAAATACTCACATAAGTAGCATATGTTATGTTTTCAAGAACAAAATTATGAACTTACTCAACTTAGTAAGTTAACCTTAATAAATTCAGCGACAATTTTCTATTAAAAAAATGAAACAATAGACAAAATATAGGGACCAATTTGATATGAAATTTAAAATTAAGGGTTAAAATTGAACCAATTGAAAGTATAGGGACCAAAATGACACAATGGACAAAATATAGGGACCACCGGTGTAATTTGCCCTATATAAAATGTTTTCTATTAGAAAATATTTTTCGCCCAAACAAATGTAGAGCATAAATGTATTGTACATTATTCATTACATTCATATCTATGTAAGATGTACAACTTTTATAAATTTCTTAAAATGTGTATAAGGGCACACATTAACCAAATCCATAATATAGAGTCTTGTTAACTAATTTCTTTAAGGCACCTGTTAACTAGGCGCTAGTTTTTAATTACATAAGGATCTGTTTTGTGTAAATTTTTATAAATTAAAAATTAAAAACATTTCTCCCGCTATCTAATGTATGTATTTTTTAACATATCTTAACTTTTTTTTATCAATGTAATTTTTTGTGAATGATATGCATGAAAAATTTTACAAAATAAATGGTGACACGTATGACAAGTCCCACTTGGACTAGAGGCAAGCCCAACATTTTTCTTTTAGTTTGGTTTCGTTAAAAATAGACGACATGTGTGTTTTGAAAAGAAAATATTTGAAACCCTAAAAAACTTTCACTTGTAACCACAATGATGTAGTATGATATATGTCAACTCTTGATTTATTAACTCTCTTATAACATTATTGTGGGTGAACTTGTGAGTCTGAAAGTGTGAGTTTCTAACATTACTCATTTAAAAATATATCGTCCATCTTTAGTACTAAATGCGATAAATTGAATGAATTACAAATATCAGGCTAACCTAATTTTATTTATAAATAATATATACAAATAATCGTGTAACATTTAGAATTATTAAAACGGAATTAATAGTGAACCTTAATGCTGTGTTCGGTTGAGGGATTTGAGGAGGGATTTGGAAAGGGAAATGGAAAAGGTAGGTGAAATGTGAAAAAAATATACTTACATTTCACATAATTTCACACACCTTTTCCCTTTCCCTTTCCAAATCCCTCCCCAAATCCCCTAACCAAACACAACATAAAGGACTGGATAACACCCTCTATGGACTGGATGGAGGGGCCTTCTTTAACCATTAAAAAAGTTTGTTCACATATTAATACTTTATTTCTTTAATTTATTTGAAATAATTAAATTAAATAATTATAAAACTCCATTTCGAAATCACAAAAATTTCATTTTGTAGATTTTCCAATGCATTAATGACCATAGCTTCCTTCCTTTCTTTCTTCCTTCCTTCCTTCATTCCTTCTTTTCTATCATTAATCAATCAATAAGAAACAATAAAATTATTTTTTTAATGTTTCAAGTCCTCCCTCTTATATTTAAGTTGCCCCTTCTGAAATATGCATGACCAACTTATCCAAGTCCTCACAAGAACTTCCACCTTCTTTTATGGCATCTAATGTTGCCCTGCGTAGCTTTCCAACTCGTATGTTCTCAATCTCTTGCATGCTCACGGACTCAGCCACAACTCGAGCCAACTCATCCGAGTTCGGAACCGTTTGTGCACCCTCACAAACCCTAATTGCAACCTTTAGCTCATCCACCAATAGAGTGGCATTCAAAAATTGTTCACCCTCCATTGGCCATGCTAGCATTGGCACCCCGGCAACGAGCCCCTCAAGAATCGAGTTCCAACCACAGTGAGTCAAAAACGACCCGATAGCTCGATGTCTCAGTATCATCACCTGCGGGGCCCAATCTTTTACGATCAACCCTCTCCCAATCACACGATCTTCGAAACCTAGTGGTATCACGCCGTAATCTCCCTCCACGTGTCCCTTTGGGGCCTCCTTGACACACCATAAAAACTTAGCTCCACTTTTCTCCAACCCAGATGCAATTTCTTCCATTTGATTGTTGTTCAACACAGCTTGACTTCCAAAACACACGTACACCACCGTGCGATCTTCACACGTGTCAAGCCAAGATGATATATCACTGGCCAATTCCGGTCTCGACCCAGATCTTTTTGCTGATGAATCATCCTCAGTAGGTTGTAACGGCCCCACTGCCCACACCCGACCATGGCCCGCTTCCTCCATCACGTGGTCGAAATAAACTCGTTCCAACTCACTGAACGAGTTAAACACGAGTCCAGAACTCGCCATGTTAGCAAGAACACCATCTTTCAAGAATTCCGAAATTGGGTCTCCCTCCACGTAGCGAGTACTATACAGAAAACGAAGCTGCCACCAAGGGTAAATCGGGGAGTTCGGAATTCTCGATAGAGAGATCAGACGGTTAGGATCGTTCAGATCATCATTCTCCGGTGGGTATCGACGCAGCGAATAAATGATTGTCATGGCCATTGCACCTGAAGATGAGAACATGAATCGGCGAATCCCGAGCTGACACGCAAGCTGGTGGGTCCACCACAGGAACATGTCGGAGAGGATGGCCACCGGCGGAGAAGGGTGGTTTTGGAACCAATGTAGGATGGGGGTGAAGAGTTGGTGCATAGAGCGCATGATAGCAGGGAAGGCTATGGGAGGGAGGTCTTTGACGTTCTCTGCGCCGGTGGGAAGTGAGGGGTGCGCAGGAAAAGGCAAGACTAGGGTTTTGATAGAAGGGTGTTTGGAGAGAAGTGGGTTCAGGATAGAGAGGTTTTTAGGTGTGACCAGTATGGTGATGGTAAGTCCACGTGTGGCCAGTTGGTTGGTTAGGTCCAGGAGGGGCATCATATGCCCGGGCGCAGGATAAGGGAACACTAGGACGTGGGCGCCGCTGGTAGAGATGGTCATGGTGTCTGGGTCTTAGGGAGTATGGATAGCTGGTACCCGTATTTGTACAGAGAGAGAGAGAGAGAGAGAGAGAGAGAGAGTATACTAGTTATTAAAACATTAAAATTATTTAATGTTAATACGTTAATATTAAAGTAGAAGTTACAATCTTAACTCGTTAAGTACTTTTTTCTAAACAGTTTTGGATTGTTATTCTAGTTAATTAATTTAGATAAATACTCCAATTCATTATATATGGGTGTACATATGTAGAGTAATGTTAGGAATTATTTTTAAAAAAAAATCATAAAATGTTCTATGAAGGTTTTTTTTTTATTTATTTATTAATGTGTGGAGTTTTATTATATGTGTTATTTAAAAGTAAATATTTCATAAAATTTTTCATGATATTTTTTACATAATTCTTAACTATTACTCACTGTAACATATAAGAGCTTTAAGGTTTAAATTTTTTGTTGTTTGAAGTAAAAATTCTTTTGTAAAAAATAAATGAAAATCAATTTTTATTGTCATGAAAATAGTTGCTAAAATATCGTCTTAAAAAATGAAAAATAAAAAAAGGACTTTTAGGAACAAATGACAATGCTTTTAATAAATAGATAAAATAATTTGATCCAAAATACAATAACTCGTAATGTCCAAATTTCATTGCTAAAAAATATAATAATGATACTTTTGAAAACAAAAATATTTCGCCCTAAAAAATGTTTTTATACTTAAATTTTTCTTTTTAAAACCTTAATTTGTTGTATTCACATAAAAAGTCACATTTTTTCAAACATTTTTTATTTTTAGTGATTTTTTTTTATGTCAAAAAAATTTATTTTTCAGGTTTGTCTTATACAGATCATAAAAGTAAAAAAAATCAAAAAAAAAAATGCTAAAGACAAAAAGAAAAAAAAAAGAAAAAAAAATTTCAAAAAATCAACCATTTTTGGCATTTGTTTTGGCTTTTCTAGACTTTCTTCAATTTATTTTTTTTAAATATGTTTACTTTTCTAGTTCATCTATTCAAGTAAAACTCGGCAATCTATAGTTTTAAAAAAAAAAAAACAAAAACAAAAACAAAACTCATTAAAGAGGAAAAAAGGCCAACAAAAAATCAAATCCCAAATTTTTTTGTTGGCCTTTTAAAACAATTGTAAAAAAGTATTTTACTTTGATAATTTCAATATATTACACAATTTTTATTTGTCAGACGTTTACTTTAGAATATGGCATACTTCTATATTAATAGAATTATCCAGCAAGAACATCCCAACGCCATATTCTTCCAATTGAGATTCTCTCATTGGTCTCTCCTTGCCTTCCTATTTATAATGGTGAAAATACACTTCAAGATGATCCAACGTCTAAATTGGCTATTTCAATTTGTTTTTTTTAATTTATTTATTTATTTTTTAAAATTTTCAGATCTAGACCATTGTATCATCTTGAGATGTATTTTCATCGTTGCAAGTAGAGAGACAAGGAAAGAGACCAAGAAGAAGATTTGAACTCACATATATATATATATTTTAAAACGGGTGAAAACTGAAGCGATACAAAACATCAAACTTTAACAGATCCTTCAAAAGAGAGGGGGGAGAGCTAATCCATCCCAAAGGTAGAGCACCTTGTAAATGAGTGGAAGCAATCCAGTGAGCAATGCCATTAGCAGCTCTAGGAGTCCAAGTGAGAGAGAAAGAGGTTCCCAATCCCATTGAGCGGATGTCCAGAATGCAAACTTGATAGTCCCACGGAGAAACCAACTCCGTCGTACTCAACTCAATCACTGATTTGTTACCACTTTCCACTTGGACGTGCGAACACTACAACAAAAATTGTCTTTGGAAACTGTTAACACCATAAATCTGCAATTTTTATTATTATCTATTATTTATATAATTGCAGGACACGTGGCATCCTCTTATTCATTTGGAAGTTAAAAGAAGTTATAGAGATAATGGAGAATATGAAGGACAAAGTGGATGAGTGGGAGGACAAAGTGGATGAGTGGAATGACACATGGCAAGACAAGAATGAAGATGGAAGAAATGGGTAGTTACTAAGTAGTTATTGCTGTATTTTTTCTTCTATAAATAGCCATTAATGGCTACATTGTAAAGGATCCAGAATTCATAATCAAAGACACTTGATTTCAATATTTCTTGTTATTTTCCTTATCTTAGGAGTAGTTTAACATAGATTTATATTTCGAAGCATTTATTTTCAGCATTTCCATTTCGAAGCATTTTATGCACTTTCTTTTCGAAGCATAGGAGTAGAGGTAAGTAATTATTACTTTGATTGTTCACTCAATCATCTTTCTCCGTTCCCCATTCTTCTTTTAATTTTTCTTTTCTTTACACTTGGCAATCTTGAAGTCCTCTTCGTTGAGGCAAAAGAACCGTCAACACAATCGCTTGATAATTGGCTTGAATTTAATCTGTAAGGATTTTTCAATCCTTGCTGGCACGCTCGCATTTATGATATTTTCCTTCGTAGGAAAAATAAGCCAACATTTTAGCCAACAGAAACGAAAATTAATGTCGAAAATAAATTTTGTCATGTAAGACGTACTTTTTAGTGAAGAAAATAATTTTTCGTCTCCAAATGTACCATTTTTAGAGGCAAAAAAATATTTCGTCATCAATCTACATACATAATAAAAAAATTAGGTGACGAAATTATTTTTTGTCATTATTTATATTTTTTTTGTCACCGAAGATTTTCCCGCTAATTTTTCGAATGGTGGCAAAATTTTCTGACTTTTGGTGAGGAAAAAATTGGTCATCAATAATAAAATTATTAATGATGAATATATTTTCGTCACCAATAATTTTTAATATTTTAATATCATTTAATGAGAAAACTATTTGAAAAATCTAGAAATCTCCTAGATGTTGATTTGTGATTATGTATCAATTTTAAGCAGTATATAATAATCCCAATCAAACAATCAAGACAAAACGACACAACGATTTTACGTGAAAAAAATCACAATTAGACACATCCAACTGTGATAAAAAACCACGGGCAACAGCCACAAAACAATCCACTAAGAAGATTTAAAGGAATTACACAGGTATACTCTCAATTACCTAGCGAATCCACGCCTAATTGAACCAACCTCTACGTGCCTCTTCCAATCCCGTTTTTACCTTGGAATTGTCTTTACGACGAGCCACCTCGGAATCCACCAAAGCTTCAGGCTCGAATTCTTCAGAATCCACCGAAGAACAACTCTCTCTTTTGTAGAACAAATAAAACCTTTGATGTACTCTGTTTAGACCATGAGTTGAATACTCAATAAAAACATCAAATAAACCTAACAAAATATCCCCATATATAAACCTTAAGAACCAAAAAGAAGATCTGAAAGAATTATTGGAGTGTTGGAAGAAAACCACGTACTTATAGAAAACCAAAAGTAATCCTAGTTTCTTCAGAAAACCAAATCCTTATCGAAATCCGGAAACTGTGTTCGCAATCTCCGCTCGAGCGCCCAACATCCCGCTCGAGCGGCTCCAACAAAATATGCACGTGATATAACAGAGGTCCGCTCGAGCGCTATAGAACCCGCTCGAGTGCAAAATCACACCATCTAGTATTTTTACAGGTGACCAAAACTGCTGGAACCAGGGATTCTCCGCTCGAGCGGGGTAATGTCCGCTCAAGCGGACAGGCAACTTGAAATGCATTTTTGTATTTTGCTTCGGGGGCGCTGTCCCTCGACCCCGCCGTGGAGCTGCCCCGGACCCGCCAAGGGGCGCTGACCCCTCGACCCCCGCGAGCTGACCGTCATAATCAGCGAAGTGGCAATCTTGAAAATATTAGCATCACAAACTTCTCTGAAAAAGCACAATTCGGGTTGGATTCGCATCTAAACACTCATAACCTCACTGGAAAAAAAATGCGAAATAAATACAACTAAAAGAAGTTTTGTCAAACGGGATTACCAAGAATAAAACCTAACACTATTTTTATGGCCAATAATTTTATCTTTTAGTGAGAAAATAATTTTGTCACCAAATAAATGGTTTAGTTGTTAAAGGTGTTTAGAGAGAAATGAATATATTGGTGCTTTAGATATTTCGGTTCTTCTTCTCACACACAGATTTGACCACCAAACCTCACCCTACATGACCTCACTTGAACGCACACCACTAACGCTGCTCGCTACCACCACCACCACCACTGCCCGCAGATCACCACTGCCGTATCCTCACGGGTATTCTCACTCTCAGTTTGTCTCTCTCTCACTCACGGTCTGTTTTTCGCTTGGTTTACGTCTCTCTCTCGCTAGCGGTCTATTTTTTGCTTTGTCTACCTCTCATTTCCTCTATTTCCCCCTTTCTCAATCATGCTCTAGGGTTGTTATGATTTCTTCAATTTAATTTGGTGTTGATTTCGAAAAATGGGTTTGGTTGAAGTGGTTTGATTTGTAAAGTTTTGTAGATTTGATGTCCTAAATGAGTTTGATTTTAGTGGTTTCATACATCGTCACAAGAAATTGCACTTTTGGCGACTACTTTTGGCGACGATGTCAATTTTTCATAGCCAAAAGTATATTTTTGGTGACACAGTGATGAATTTCGTTGGTAAGAGTAGACATTTACCGACACAATTTACTTTCGTCGCTAACAAAGTATAACATTCACTAAGTGCCAAAATTATTGATTGGCGTCAAAAATTCAAAAATTTTAGCTACGAGACTTATTTTTTGGCAACACAATGAGCGTTGCTATTAGTGTTCTTACTTTTGGCGATGATAACTTGGCGTGGACAAAGAGTTAAACATTGTGTGTTTGGTAACGTTTACGTTTTTAGTTTATATTTACAAAAAATTTATAAACTGATTTTTGTTTATTTTTAGAAAAACATAAGCTACAAACGCGTTTGATAATTGACAAAATGTTTAAAAAAAAATTTAAATATAAAAAAGAGTGAGAAATGGCAAATGGCGGCAAGTAGCGTTTTAGCAACACAATGAGCGTTGCTATTAGTGTTCTTACTTT